GAGAATTTATAGTTTTATTCATAATGACTTACTACAGTACAATTGTAAGAACGTTCAACTTGAACATTCCATCACGCATGTATCTTTTCCCTACATACATCTCATTTTTAGACAACACAAATTTATCGGATACAAATACAAGTTTAAAACCATTCTTGCTAAGTAGAGACTCGGATACTAAATTATTTCTTATATCCGGCACATGTAGGACGTTGTTGAGGACAAGTTCTTTCCCGGATGTCATCTTCAAAGTGATTTTGCCTTGTCCTTCAACTTTGGAACTTGCAGAATTTCCTATGTATAGTTGTTCCCCATTCAATTTTTGATAGTTGGAGAACATCCCCTTGTCCGCACACACATGGAGGGTAGTGCCGGTGTCAATCCATCATTCTCTAATATTTTCAATCATGTTGCATTCGGACACTACTGCAAATAAACTCATTTCTTGCAGTCCATCGGATAGAGTGTTATTTGCAACCATGTGGGCTTGAGCATTCTTCTTTGACTTTCGACATTCACTTAAATGATGTCCAGCCTTGTCACAATTGTAACAATTCCCTTTGAACTTCTTAGCCTTCTTGGAATTGTCTCTTTGCAGTGCATAATTAGGAGCCTTTCGTTTCTTATTTGTTGCATTTGGTTCCATTTCAACAAAATTTGCACCATCTTGATCAACCGACCTTCGTTCGATTTTTTGATTGTCCTCTTCAATCCTTAAGCGCACAATCAATTCTTCTAAGTTCATTTCATTGTGTTTGTGCTTGAGGTAATTTTTGAAATCTCTCCACATAGGAGGGAGTTTCTCAATAATGGCAACCACTTGGAATGATTCACTCAATTACATTTTCTCGACGTGGATGTCGTGTAATAAGACTTGAATCTCTTGCACTTGACTAATTACAGTTTTGGAATCCACCATCTTGTAGTCCAAAAATTTGCCAACAATAAACTTCTTTGTTCCGACATCTTCGATCTTGTACTTTGTCTCCAAAGGATCTCATAGTTCTTTGACTGATTTTTTTGAACTATACATCCCATATAGTGTATTATCCAATGCGTTTAGGATATAGTTCCTGCATAGGAAGTCCGAGTGTTTTCATGCATCCAGAGCAATAATCGATTCACGATTATTTTCCCCTTGTTGTACAGCCGGTGCAGTTTCCTTCAGAAATTTAGCCAAATTAAGAGTGGTGAGATAAAACAACATCTTTTGTTGTCACCTCTTGAAATCTACTCCTTCAAATTTTTCCAGCTTTTCCCCATGTGGGATAGTAGTATTATGAAATGGTATGGCCACGGGTCGTTCCACATTATTGGAACCATATTGACTTGACGAAATCCCGATGGTAGTCATTTCTGTTATACAAACAGAAGTTTAAAATAATGATAATATCGGCGGAGGAATAGTACACAAAGCACTATTCAAACAAAGTAATGTTTGTCCACAACCAACCACAAAGACACACAAAATTTGTCTTAAACTTGTTGGAGACGACTTATAAAAAGGGTTATGTAAGGGTTGATTTTTTATATATTTGTTTGACCAATTTTAACCCGCAAGAGCATGATCAAAACACAATTTATATGATTGATAATTTGGACAAATTTTCGGTATAAAGATTACGTAAAACAAGGATTAAGGAGTAGAAATAGAGAATAATCTAAGGCAAGATGTTATCTCTTTCCTTAAGACAAATTGCCCCGCTACGGTGCTCACGGTGAATGACACTTGTCTCCCAAGATACAATGGATTCACAACTTGTGGTAGCAGCACTTCAAACCACTAGAAACCGACGAGCTTTTGACAGAATTTCCCTTCTATAAAGGAAATGTATGAAATGCTATAGAATTAGAAAGAAGAGAATTGCAAGAAAAGAATGAATGCTCAATGGAATTGGTGTATCCAAAATCATATCCATAGGGTTCTAATTATAGATGTAGAAAGGGTGCAAATGAAGTAGTGTATGCTAAAACATGCATCCTTTCAAAAAAGTTGCAACACTTGGCCAAAACCTGCACCTTTCGAAAAGTTGCAACACTTCATTTCTTCCAACTTTGGTCCGCAATTTCTCATTCATCCGGAATTGGTTTCGAGATTCCAAATATACCACGACGATCTACTCGACAAGCAGAATAAGTTGGTCTATTTACTTTTGTAATTTGACCATCAGATCAAATTCGAATTTTTGATCGAAGTTGATACGTAGTCACATCTTTTCATTTTCCATTTTTTTCACACCTTTTCATTTTCCAATTTTTACATACCTTTTCATTTAATATTTGAACCAATTCCTACAGGGCATAGCTAAACAAGTGCAGAAGAATGTGAAGACTTACTTCGTGCACTAATAACAATTGGCAAAGCACTCAAAATTACAGCTATCAAACTCTTAAAGAGTGACCAAAATCACGAAAGAATTTTGAGGTATGATCTAGCCCAAATGGATTTGAGTTACACGGTTTCTAGGGGTCAATTTTTTAACAATTGTCATTAGTCAACAACTCAGTCTTCGATCTATGTTAACATCTCAAAAACATTTTTATATGGATAATGAACATCTATTGGCATCACCTATGGTTGTTTGATAAATTGATGTAAAAAATATCCATTCCTTAGATTTGAAGACGGGGAAAAAGTTCTTCATCCTGAAGTGCTATATCTTAGTACATTTGGAGCATTAACTTATTTTGCAAACTGTACTCGCCCCGACATAAATTTTCTGTAAGCCTCATTGCAAAGTATAGCTCTATACCAACTCAAAGATATTAGAATGGTGTTAAACATATTTTTCATTACATATAGGGTACCATTGATTGGGATTATTTTATTTTTAAAAGTCAGAATTTGCTTTAGTGAAATATACAGATGGAAGTTATCTCTTTATCCCACATAAAACTAAATCACCAACATGATATGTGTTTACATGTTGAGGAACAATTATTTCATAGAGATTTGTGAAGCAATCATTGGCAATAGCATTCTCAAATCACTCTGAAATTACTGCAATCCATGTAGCAAGCCGAGAATGTGTATATTTGAGGAACATGACCCATCATATTCAAGCATCAAGCGGGTTAATTTCAACAAAAGATAGTTCAACAATTTTGTATGAAGACAATATAACTTGTATTACACAACTCAAAGAATGCTCTATCAAAAGTGATGGGATGAAACATATTTTTCCAAAATTCTTTCATATACATACGCTTCAAAAGAATGGCGACATCGATATTTAACAAATTTGCTCAAGTGACAATGTGGCCAATTGATTCGTAAAAGTATTGTCGACATCTACATTGAAAAAATTGGTTCATGAGATTGGATGCGTCGACTCAAAGATTTTTAGTGATCAACATCAGATGTGGTAACTGTATTCTTTTTCTTTCGTTTAGGTTTTATGCAACTGAGTTTTCCTAACAAAATTTTAATGATGCAACATTTATTTATAATACTTCAAAATAACTTACTCTTTTTCATTCGTTTGACATTTTTGTCCCAATGAATTTTTATCAAACAATGTTTTAACGATACAGATATTTTATAATATGTTATCTAAGGGGATGTTTTGTAAATAGTAAGTTTATTAGTGAATAACAATTGTATCACTGTAGCCCTAGAAATTATTATCATTGTATCCCTAATTCTCCCTAAAAACATAGGGTTTTGGTTCTTAATAAAACATAGACAAACCTATCGACTTTTATTCTCTCTTTTCATAACAGATTTGAGTTTTTCATATTTGTTACAATAACAATTATGGTACCAACAAAAAATGATAACAAAATATAATAATCTTGTTAGCATTAGAAAGAGAAATCCCAATTTCTTATTCTTTTTCTCCATTGTGGATTATCATTCGAGGTTAGATAATTCGATAATTGTGGTGTGAAAATATCATGGTAGATCAAGATTCACTAGGAAAAGCAGAGTTCGTGATCAAATTCTCAAGGAGTTTGAAGAATTGGCTAAAGGTGAAATTCTAATTATGATTTTTATCTAAATACAAAGACGGTTTTTGAAGGGAATTGAAAAATATTTTAAATTTCTCTGTGCATATAAGTAAATTTCAAACACCTACACGTGGGTAAAAGCATAACAATTAGTTTTTTTCCCCCCTTGAAATAGTAAACTTTGAGATTGTATGTTTTAACTTGTCGTAGAGGCCTCTTGCCGAGGCTTGCACTTTCTAAGTGGAGAAGCTTTTTATTCACCATGGAGACGAGATTATGATGTGGCGAAGGTGACAAAATTAAATGTATTGACACAATTGAAAAGTTTAGCAAATAAGTTGGAGAAACACAATGAAGAGTTATTAATTTGTATACATCAAATTTGCTCTGAAAAGTTATGAAAGGAATTTTGACCCAATGATTCATATAGTAGAAAATAACTTCCCAATGTGAATCCCGTATTTAGATACCAACTTTTATTATACCACCAATAAATAGTTGTCGACCTAAGTTACACCTTCTTAATTACTAATATTCTTTCCTTCCATCCCACATCATTCTAAACCCAAAAATCGATATATTTCTTCTGATTTCAAGTTTGAGTTTGGCCAAAAGGTAAGATTTTTATGTTACGTTGTGGAGTTTAATTATTTTAATTTAAGAATTAGTTATGAATTAGTTGTAAAATTATATTATGGAATTTGAGTCCTTGTATAATTCAATTTTGTCCTAATTTATCTTATGAATAGGGAGCTATCTCTATTTTTCATTATATTATCATCGTCAGAAAGAGTTAGAGAAGATGGGAGTACAGTTTTTTCTTCAAAAATATTTTTTCTTCTTCAAATTAATTGTTGTCTATGAAATTGAATTAGTATTTATAATTCTGAACATTTCATTCATCATGCTACATATTGCGATGCTAGACAAGATCAGACAACACAATCAAATAAGATTTTAACTTCTTCCATCATTGATATTTTTTTCTCAAGTTTGAAGGGAACATGGCCTATGTCTACAGCTACAGCTGTGGCCACAACCATTACATATCCAACCATGTTATTTTTCAATTGAATTCAAAAGATTATATATTTTAATTTTGATTTGCAGTCAAATTCTATAGTTTTGAATGTATTTCCCAGACTAGAAAGGAAAATTTTTCTTGAGCCGATACTCAGATTCCAAGCAGCATGTTTTGCACAACGGCACAAGAACGTATTACACTACAACATGAAATTGTGATTTTCTCGTCTAGCTTATAACTAATTTACTTGTCTGTTTCTACCTATAGCCTCAAAATGATTGAAGGAGATCTCTCTTCTTCACCGATTATCTTCATCAGTTCCCATGTCGATTTGAAAAATGATTTTCTTCTGGGGGACTTACGCTGCCTTCTCTTCGTCCCATTCATCCTCCCAACTTTCATCCCAACCTTCTGCTGTCTCTACATTTAAGGAAAAACTGGATTCTTGATTCCCCATTTCAAGTTCCTGATATGGAACTCCATCAAGATGTCGTTTTCTTTTTACCAACTTGAAGCAGGTCCACGTACCTCCGATAAACAAAACTATCACAAAGAGCATATATGTCCCATTGACTGGTGTCAAATATGTGGTATGATGAGTTTGTGGTAATGAAGCCCCTAACTGTATTGTGCAAACCCCATTCCCAGCATTTACTGAAATTGAGGAAATTCCCTGCATATTTGACGTTATATTTACCTGGTACAGCACGAGGTAGCAAAAGTGATCATAAAAATAATTCTGAATTGGAAGAGAAAAGAAAAGAAACTAAATTTTCCCCAAACATTGCACTTCCTTCGTGACATTTCACATATTTAACACGAATAACCTATGAAACAACGATATAACTATACCTTCTCGACTTTGTGTGCAGGAATTACAATGTTCTCCAGGGTTTCATTTGCAGGACGAACAGTGATATTTAAATTGAGAGAGCTCTCACCATCATTCAAGACAAGCAAAAATGATTCTTGGAATCCTGAAAGGAAAACAGCTATTTTGAAAACTCAACCTCCTACAACGAAAAGGTTGTTGGAATATTTTTTTTGCATGAACCTCGATCATTTTCTTTTAATTTCCTGACTTCAAGTTTCAATATATTTATATCATTTATAGCTTCTTTTATTTCATTCTTAATTTCTTGTACATCATTTATTAATGTTCTTATTAGATGTTTTAATTCTTCCATATGTTCACTGATTGACATTTTATGTATTTTTTGATTGACAATAATAGAATACTATACACTCAGCATTTTTAAATTCTTTTATCATTTTATCATATTTTTGTTTTATTACTTCAAGATTTGTTATCTCTTTTAATTTTTCATAATACCTTGCTTTTTCTTTATACCTTTCTTGTTTTAATTTTAATATTTGCTTTTCTTGAGTTTTAGTTATTTCTCCAGGTATTAATAATTCATCTAAAATTTTATTATTTATTAATCTTATTCTTTCTAACTTTCTATCTAAAATATTTTTAGTTTTTTCCATTATTTTTTCTAACTTCCTATCTAAAATATTTTTAGTTTTTTCCATTATATTTTATGATGATTCATATATTTCTCTATGATACAACTCATTTTCAAATATTTCGCAAATTATTTCATATGTACGTCTATCTTTAATAAATCCTACAATTAATTTATGTAATATTTGTTCCTTTATTTCTCTAGGTAAATTCCTAGTTATATATAATGTTATTATTTTTAGTTTATTAGGGATAGGGTTGTAAAATATATAACATCCTTTTTCTTCAATACATTGATAATAATTATTTATTTTTAAGATTTCCATGATCTCTATGGCTCTGATACCAACTCTATGGGTGCTACTATGAGCGAACAAAAAGGATGTTTGGGAATTTATAATATCAATATCTGTTATCATATCTATGTCTGTTCTAAAAGGTATTTCACATTTTGAGATACTTTTCTTTCTTTTTTCCAATTTATCTATTATATCTTGTATATCTTTTATGATTATTGACCTTACAATTCCTTTAGCGAAATTTTCTAATAAGTTTTCTTTAAAACATTTTAATATTTCTTGTGATGCATATAATTGTTCTTGATATCCTATCTTATCAATTTCTTTTTCAAATTTAATTTCTTTTTTATTTTTAACAACCTTTTTTATATTATATGGTCCTCTCTTATATTTGGGCTTTTCCATTTTATAATTATTCATTAATAATTTTTTCGAATTTTTAGAAAAATTATTTGTTAGATTTTTTAAGGACTAAAAAAAAAAAACTTTTTATTATATAAAGGGTTGGTTGTTAAATTTTTCCAAGGATATTTTGGATAGTTTCAAATTTCTAGAAAAGTCAAAGGTCATTTTGGAAAAGGTTATATACTATTTGGGTCATTTTCATGTATATCCCAGTAAACTTTCACTTATGAATGATTTTTTCAATATAATTAATTTTAAATAAAATCATCCAATAAGAAAGGTCTAAACAATATTAATTGTTATTGTATTTAACTGTTGAATAATAAGAAAACATTAATACTATTTAATTGAAAGTTAAAGTTAAAATCTGAGTGAAAAAAATGAGCAAATACTGTGAATATAATACAAATGATTATAGAAATATTAACTATTCAGATAAATTAATCCAGTTACTCTCAACCTCGTACACCGTTTCGAGATACTTTCTTATATATTGTAATAAGGTAAACCAAATGATTATTTTTTAACCTCGTCTAATATTTATTGACCAAAATACATATATCATATATGTGTGGATATATTGTGTATTAAGAACAAAAATTGCGGATATGGTCGAACGGTAAAATTTCTCTTTGTCAAGGAGAAGATGCGGGTTCGATGATAATAGAGGGCCTCTTTACCATTCTGTATAAATGGATTATTCTATTTGTACAAATATGGTAGAGGGGCATATTCAATTCTCGTTTATCTATTAGTTTTCACTTATTCTCTTCAACGCGGGGTAGAACAGTTTGGTAGCTTGCAAGGCTCAAATTGAGGTCATGGGTTCAAATCCTGTCTCACAATATTTATTTTTATCAAAAGGGGGTTTGACTCTGTTAACTAGTAATTAATTTCCCAAAAAGGGGGTGGTAGGAAAGGAAAAACATCAAGGGATTTGTAAGTAAACAAAGTAATTACGCAGGTTAAACATCTTGATCGATTTCATTGATAATTTCAATAACAACTAATAAATATTCGAAAAAGATTACGAAAACTCAAATTGTTGTTGTAAAAATTTAAAAGTCCATATTACAAATACATTGAAGCTATATCAATCTTTTATTTTAAGTTGTTAAATGAAGTAGAAACGCATTAAAATCTAACTCATCTTTAGAAATTAACTGATTCAACATCAACCTAACTTGCTACCTTTATATATTGCATCAACTGAGCTATTGGTGGCAATTTTGATTAATCAATTTATAATCCCGAATGCTTGATTTTCTCGGCCATGTTTCGTAAAAATAAATATAATAATTTTCACTAAAAACCACGGAGTTGAGAAAAAAAAAATCTATTTAGTCGGGCTTCTATCCCCCACTAATCAATCAAAAGTGCTATGTGTATAGAAATTCTCTGTTAGAATTTTCACAAAATGCACACGGCAGCATTCAGTTAAAGAATGACAAAAAATAAAAATAAAAATCAATAATATGCTGCCACATCAACCTCTGGTGAATTTTGACACTTCTGCTTATACAAGACGCTTGTATTGTTCTCCCACAACCCCATTTTCACGATTTAAGCTACTCCCATTTCACTCGTCACTACTACAAAAATCCATGGACTGATCCCATCATCTCTATCCCGGAAGAACTACGAGATCACCTCAAGGATGCCTTTAGAATATAGGGTCACAGACCGACCATATATAGATACAAATGATCCAATGGGAGCAAGAATTTCCAAGAATGGACCCCATTTTCACGATTTAAACTGCTCCCATTTCACTCGTCGCTACTACAAAAATCCATGGATTAATCCCATCATCTCTACCCCGAAAGAACTACGAGATCACCCCAAGGATGCCTTTAGAATCTAGGGTCACAGGCCGACCATGTATAGATACAAATGATCCAATAGGAGCAAGAATTTCCAAGAATGGTCCAATGGAAGTAAGAATTTCTAGGAACATGTGTATAGAAAAATTGCTAATCAATTGAAGTCCCAGTAGAAGTTTACTGACCTGGCTAATATCAACTTATTTATCCAAGTTCATTAACATAGAGAACATAATATAATGAATTTATTTATGTCCATACAGTAAACTTTTGCCATTATATACTCAAACTAAACTTACTTCAAGACTGAAAAACAAAAGTACAAACATACCACACCATCTTCTACAAGACCCTCACTGACCTCAAAAGCCCGCACTAGCTACCTAAATGCGCAGAACCCTTTTCGTTGACCCTGGCGGCCGCCGCCACCGACGCTGCAACTCCACCAGGATGCGCAGTTAAACTAGGATCATTCCGAAGCTCTGCACTCAAAATCCCTTCTGCATCTTCCCTCGTTGCAGCCTTATCCGCCGGCAGATTTTGCTTCGCTCCCTACACACACATCAAGATAGTCTAAGAAAACGTCTTTTAAACATCCTTTTTTCATTATCTTTCTTCATTTCTTATTACATACCGTTAAAACATCTTTGAGTTTGATTTTGCCTTTATCCCCAATCAATCCATCATTGTAAGCTGCGGCAGATTGGGCAGTGGCCGCGATGCCTCCCGGAGTTATGATGTTAGAACCCGTTGCTCTACATTCTGCCGCCTGTATTGCGGCGGCATCGCCGTGATCCACCGGTTTATCCCCCGCAGTTTGTGCTGAGGCTTCGAGGGCATCTCCTATGGTTATTACGGACTGGACTTCTCTTGATGTTGCCATTTGTACTAGTGGCGTAGATTGAACATATTGTCCGACAACCTATTATTACAGATAACTATTAGCACGTTCTGAAAATCACATTCGGCAAAAGTAAGTTCAAGTAATTTTTTAGTAACTACCTGTCCGGCGACTGATTCAGTGATTATACGAGTTCCAGGAAGATCAGTTTCTGTAACAGCGACACCTTCCTGTCCGGCGATGTCGGTGACATCGCGGTGGTCAACAATACCAGCCCTTTGATTACAGGCGGCAGCAGAGTGCATGACGGCGGCCGTAACACCCTTCTGGGTCTGACCGAATACGGTAGTTTCAGCAGACTGCATCATGGTGGCATCTTCAGGCGCAACTGGCTTGCTTGCTAGCTCGCCGGAAACTTGAAAAACGTCTCCATATTTGAGAGGTTCTTGCTCCGCCGCCTGAGGCCTTCTTGGTTGTTCTTGACTCATTTTTGCAGGCTAGATAGCCCGTTTTCGTTGACAGATTATTCGAATTATTCGTGAGAAATAAATGCAAAACAATGTGTATATGTATAGGTGACTGATAAATGAGGTGATGACACAGCGGTAATTTTTAGGACACGTGGCATTTGGAGAGTTACATCAGCTGGAAATGAGATACGCATGGCAGATTTGGAGGTTAAGTGTATTCTGATGGGGTGTTGGGAGACAAAGGTGAGGCGACACCCACTTGAACAATGATAGATGCCACGATTCAATTGTTGTATTTTAGAGATAAAATTCTTGATCTGATTTTTGATGATTGGTTAATTTTATGTTTTGGTTATGTTATTCGATTATATGTTACAAATGTTATTTAAATAGACTCAGAAGAATATAAGAGCTTAGCTTAATACAATTAATTTAACCATTCATTCTATATATATTATTGTGCAACTCTTGTTGTGTAATAAAACCTAGAGAAAAGTATACAAGTTAGTCTCTTATTGAGAATCAAGATCTCATATTTATAAGATATATTTAGAAAATAGAGATACAAAATCGTTTACAACACAACATGAGACTAGTTAAAATTGACAAAAATTTGATGAAAAAATTACCAAACGAAGAGAAAATGAGTACATTTAATTATGAAAGGAAATAGTGATCAAACAATGTCTAGTTAAAACCTTATCAGTAAAATTCAATGAGAGAAAATACTATCGCTTAGCAAATATTGACTAACATAAGCATCTGAAGAAATATGTTGTCGATAATTTGATTGGAGAACTACACGAGCCTCATGTTAAAGAATTTCCATGAGCATGAAAGGCACAATTGGTTCTTTATGATCATCATTTAGTGAATCTAAAATCTTTATGATACTTTCTAGGATACGATTAGAGGTTATATTTTTCGAAAAATTCACTCACACTACTATCAGTAGCATACTCCATCGTGTAATAAGTAATAATAGTTAAAATTTAGTAACTTAAATTAGCAAATCTTAAACATAAAGACATTTAAGTTGAGCCCGTGAGATGAAGTTTCTCAATGAGGAACTCTCTTTAAAAAAAAAAAAAAAAGTTGAACCCCAACCTTGAGGGCCCCACCGCCCCGTCCCTAAAACTTTGTGAGGGAAGCAAATCGCGGGATGTACTCCAACAGTCTCTTCATTAAGAAATCTTGAGGTTTTGACCCTAGGGCAAATGTTAGTTACTACCGATATTGGATTAGCACGTATTGAAGAGTTTGACTGTCAATGAGGAACTTTCTTCACTGGCTATGAGGATACGAGAGATTGAATATTCACTGACCCTTAGTTGAAACAACGAATTCAACTTGTTTTCCTAATGATTTAGCCCAAGTTTGGTCTCATTAAAATTATAATTTATTTTCCTTTTTTTTTATCAACCATACATTTTCCAATAAAATTCAAAAAAATTCTTCCTTTATTAACAACGTATTCTTTAAGAAAGCACTACTGCAAAAATTAAAATAGCAAATAATGGGGGCCAAACAAGAACTTAATTTTATCAACAACCACAACTCTGCAAGGGATTTAACCCCTATTTGTTTTTGCTAGAAAATCAAATTTTTAGTAGATTTTAATAAAAAAAAAATAAGAATAAACTATAAAATAATAAAGTTAATAAAAATGATGAATTTCATTAAATGTCTCATTAAAATTTAAAACTAATTATTGTTTTCAACTATTGTAATAAAGCCAAGAGGGACATGGTCACTGTTCTTATGGCCAGAATGCTTTACCCTATTTTCTCTGGTGATCCCAAATTTTCGCTCCCTCCCTTCTGCTCAAAACTCACATCCACATTCTGCAACACAGTCTTCTCTCTCTGCTTTGATTTCGAGAGAGACAGAGGTGAGAGATTCTCATATTGCACTGCATTAATGGAATCTCTCAACGGAGCAGTCGAACCAGTACCCTCTTGTAGTCTGGAAAAACAAGGGCGTTTTTCGCCACTACAAGAAAGAATTTCAAAGTTATTGTCTCAATGGACTGCACTTCAGATGGCTGTCCAGAATGAGTGGGGAGGCTGCGATTCATTGGAGAAATCAGAGCAACTTGCCTATGACGTACTCTCGTGGCTCTTCCAATCTAAAGGTAAAATTCCATTTCCCCGATTTCGTGATACTTTTCAGATTTTCTCGATTATATATTATTTGAAGAAGTATGAGCATCCTCTTTGTAATTCATATAGCAGAAAATTAAGAGTTGTGCTTGCCGTTCAACAAGACACACAACCCCTCACATGAATCATGGGGCCCTCCCATGTGAGGAGGCCGTAAGAATGTACAGCTCTTAACAACCCGAAAATTAATAATATGTACTTTCTCATGAGTTTATATGTTTATTTAGTAGAGATTTTGTTAATTGATTTTTTGACTGTTAGAGATGAGTCCTTCTTGTAGGAGAAGAATTCAAAAATAACGGTTAAAATAATGAAATAACTGTCAAAAAAATTGATTTTAATTGAATTTTAAGCTGTACCAAACATCCACTGTGTATCTCCTAGCAGATGCACTGAAACCGCTAGGATTCTAGCGTTTCTAACTTCATAGGAATAACGTTTTTACATATCATGCATGTCACATTTCGCTCTCCATTTCCGTGCAACCTATAATATTTCCTTTTTCGTTTTATTCTTTTTAGAATAAAGCTTCTTTGCCATAAAAGTTTGACATGTTTATTAACATACACTAACATGCGATGGGACTTCTACTAGACCTGCTTGAATAAAAAAAAAAAAGCCTAAAAAGTGCACCTACCCCCTTCCATTGAGAGTGTCAGGGAGGGTGTTCCTGACAACATAGCTTAGTCTTTCTTTTTATAGTTTCTAAAGTGGTTTTAGAGCCAAAACGTATATAATAGTAGTTCAGGTCCTCATTCATATTGTAATTATATCCAGGAACCCTCTACATTTTTATTTTAGTTTTAGTGATTCCTCAAATGTTTATGTTTGAACTATGAAGATGTTGGGAATTTCTTAAACATGCACAGCGGAATTTAACAAATTTCAATTTTCATTCAGAATTCAGCTTTGTATTTAGATAAAAACTGTGATAAGAAATGTACCTTTCTTTTTAATTTGCAAACTCCTTCGCGTTATTCCTTTCCAGCAGCTTGAATCTGCCTCCCACGGCTGTCCAATTGTCTAGCCTCCAATGAAATCCACACAGAGAATAGACTGCAACTGCTAGGGTTTTTCTCTTGTATCAGCAAGAATAATAAAAACCTTATGGACCTCAAACCCTAGCTATGTATATATATAAACCCAAACAGACCCGGCCCGATCCGGTCCAATATTTAATTAATCCAATTAATTATATCCGGTCCGTGAATTAATTAATCCAATTAATTAATTCGGGAATATAAATAACAAATCCAATTAATTAATTCGGGAATATAAATAACAAATCCAATTAATTAATTTATCCAACGATTGTTAGATTAACCAATTAGTAATTTGCAATCTTCCAATTCTCTTTTGTGTGCGACCCATTAGGTTCCCGACCACAATGCCTAACGTCGTGAAATATTATTTTGATCTAATCAAAATTGATAAATTAAAACACCCTTTTAATTTATCGTCAATTCACACTCACCGTCCCTAATTGACATCTAGCAATGTGTCAGGGCAATACATGTGACGGGAAATGCCACGTGGTATGACAAAACCAAATTCGTTCGTTTGCTGTGAAACTATTATCCCTTTGTCAATATGATCCGATCAATTACGAGATATGGAATTGTGTCAATCTCGATCATCGATCATATCTTTCACTCCACTATTAAGTCAATATAAATCGAAAACTCCTTTTCGACTTATGAGTACACCTTGGCCAAGAATTTCATTATCGACTTATTGAATGAAACGCAGATTATAATCTCCTACTATCTAAGAGTGACGAATCCTTTATTGATCAATCACAACCTTCATACGATTCTTGACGTACTCGAACGATGTTGTATTAACGGCCCTTTTCAGAGCAACATCCAACACCGCCAAAGTATGACTGTCCTCATATAAGGTACCATGACGATCTCAAGTCAAAGGACCAATTTCACTACCGAACGTTAGAGATTAACCACTGGCACTCAGATAGTTATCCATGTGGAATCTCTTAGCGGGTCTCCAATGTTTTGTTCTATAACAAAACATCCACGTGTTCATTTAAGTGTCAACACACTTTAGCTCGTGAGATCAGCTACTTACTTCACAAGTAAGAAATGCCACACGTGATGGTCTAACTATATTAACGATATCCGTATCTCGTTATTACTTACGACCATGGTTTATTCAAGATCCAATTATATGCAATTTGTATCTCATAATCACAACTCCCTGTGATTAACAGATTACCTAAAAATTGGATTTTCGGATTCTATTATTTAATATTATTTATCACAAAGTTAATTTAAATAAATAATAAATCTCGCCAAAATCAAATGCATTAAACATATTAAAAGCGTTTACAACCTAAATCAATTGGATCTAGGGCATAACACTTACAGAAGATATGCATATGATTTATCTAGCAGCATCATTTACTCTTGAAGCGTGCGTATACTGGAATAGAGTGGCAAAAAGAGACTCACATATATAGCTGATCCTAAATTTATTGAGAACAACAAGATTAGTTTGTTGTCTAAGTATATATATTATTTTTTCAGTAAATGGAAAAATCAAGAACAAAATTTAATATATGTTATTTTATTAGCAGAATTACTTCGAGTAGAAGATTTAGAGAATTTGCTGCATGAGAGATTGCTGCTTTCTTTCAACACAGAAATTGAGGATGGCAGCATTGAGGAGGTCCTTTATTTTCTTATGGCTTATGCTTTGCTCCTCCTTGTTGAGTCTGCTTATTATTAATTATAATTTTTCCCCTTCATGTATAAGAAGGTTGCTGAACAGTTGATGATTATTGGCGAAGATCATTTGCATGGAAATCTTGTTTCTTTTCAATTAAATGAAAATCATCAAAAAGTTGGAAACAGTGGACAGCAAACTACGGTATAATCCCTTATCCGGCTTTGATGAAAAAATTAACTCGACTTGTACTTGAGCAGGCAAATTGAAGATATAAGTATAAATTATTAAATTTGTGTCGAAACCGTGCTTAGGAGATGACATGTTCATTTTTCATATTCTCTTTTAGACTAATGGCTTCAGGCAAAAGTGAGAATAGAAGACAGAAGGCATATGGGGCACACTAGTTGCAATGCTTACCTGCAAAACATCAGATGAACTGTACTCAAAGAAACACGGATGATGGTTTCAACTGAAACTCACCTACTTAGATTACAAAAAAGGTCATTACCTTTTTACTATCTAGTTTCGTCCAGTACTTTGACATGTATACTAAACACGTTCAAAAGCTGTATTGTTTAGAGAAAAATTATTTTCATTCTCCATTTTTTTTTTACTTTATTTCATTCTCTTAATTATACATATGTGTAGGTTTTTTCAAGGACATGACGAATGGACTCTTTCATCTATGCAGTGAACCTGCAGAATCTGGGATTTCCATTCTTGACTCTTAAGAGTATAATTTTTGGAGGGAAATATATTTGTTTCTTTTTCTTTCTCCTTTCTTTATCAGTCATGAAGCTCAAGAGCTCTTTTTTATTCTGTACTAAAACTCTTTGTCCTAAATAAAGAAACTATGTTTGATGTTTTGTTCTTGTCAAACTGTTGGACAATTTGTTGTCAAACGACCTTCTTAGGCAGTGATGTTAATTCGGTTTAATTCCCAGTCCGCTTTAGCAAATGACTGAACGAAATTTTAGCACCACAATCAAGACGATTTGACCCAAAGGTTAATTGGGCCATTTGAAGTAACATAAATATTTTAGTGTTGTTCATGACTCAACTCACTTGGATGGCCAAAATAAGAAATGTTAACTTGGCAGCCCATTTGTCTATTGTTTGGGCTTTACTTGACCCATTAGCTACCCTATTGTAACTTACCTATCTTGGCCTCATTAGGTGAATATATCAGGTCTCATATTCTTTTGCCGAGACCGAACCATTCACCTCCTTTGTGTGAGAAAATTGGAGTTTTCTTCTCTGCCTCTCTTGCCCGTCTTTGTCTCTTTTCACTCTTACCTTTGTGGTGATTGTCATTGAGTTATTACCCATCTTTGTGGTCTCCTAAGTGTGTGGTCTCTTGCCAACCGTAAGTGGAAAGGCTTGGCATTGTCTTGAGTCGATTGGTTTTGATTGTGATGAATTGGCAGAATAAACTGAGCCTAACAAACAGTCATTACATCCTTCACACAAACTATATTAAAGTCAAGCTATTGTAAGTCATATAGATAAGGCAAAGAAGGCTAATTCCACTTGTAGAGAGTTGTAGTAGGAGAAATGATTTTAAGCAAGAGGCCAAGTCCAACAAGCTAGAAGTTGGATGATGACAGAGAGGGTTTTTCACCGCAACTACTATATTAACGACTCAATTTTAACCACACAGATTCACATTTTTATTAACTTTTCAATCACATTCATCAATCTTTTTATCAAACTTTGCTAAAACTTTCATAAAAAAGATTTGTCAAACAACATCTGAATTAAAGGCCTCCAGTTTTATTTCTTGTTACACTTGTATCTCCAGCCTTTTGTATCACATTCTAATTATCCATCTTACACTTATTGGTGAATATTATCTCCAAAAGTTTTATTAGCATGTTTTAAATAAATGACAAATATTTGGTAGCACTTTTATATTTATTAGTATTATTTTGCTTATTTAAAATTATGATATTACCAATAAGTCTTTTTACTCAACCTTATCATAATTTTTGGATGGAAACGATCATCAGTGGCATGATATGTTAAATTAATTGAATGGCGAGGACAAAAATGCAATGACAAAATCAAGGACAAAAGTATGATAATAGGTAAAGATTAATGATCTTCAATGCAGTTAAAATATGGTGTTATTATAAAAAATTGTGATATCAAAAGCAACAAATATGTATAATTTATCATAATTTACAGACGTATCAATTAAAATGATTTTTGGCAAAGAAAAATTTAATTTTTTAAATTAATTATGTCACCGTGCGGCCTGATTTATCAATTTTCAAAATTCTCCTGATTTCTCAAAATCAAAAGTTAAATACACAATTTTGCCTAATTTTTCCATGATGTTATAGTTAGTTGCAAGGATAATAATTGCACGGACTAAATCTTGAAATTTTAGAATTTGGGTCGTAGAACAATGTGGTAGATAAGCTCTATCGCTAACGCAAAAAATCCATTTTTATAAAATGATAGGTATAAAAGGTGTCTTGCAAGTTTTTATGCCTCAATTTACACGAAATATAGGTTCAATTATGCAATACGGCCTCATGACCTCGAATTCTGCACAAATAACGTGGTCAATAGATCTCGATTGCACTTGCATCCACGTAGCCTTTTGCCCGTAGACTGGGACAAAACCGGTTGGGTGCACTTCAACGTTCAAATCAATCACTAGTATAAATGTATTTGGGTGTGGGACGTGATGAAAATGCGAGCCACAACAGAGTTTGGACTCCAAGGGTATATAGAGAATAAAATGAGAGAAATAGATAGAAATGTTACGATTGCGATAAAATTGCATTATCTTCAATGACACTTAAGCCCTTATTTGAGTCCCATTCTCAAAAACTTATTTTTTTCTCAAACTCATTTTCAATTACGTATTCTCCTAATATATTAATTTTACACGTAAACTCAACATTTTTCTCAACTTTTTAATCACACATTCACCAAAAAATCACTATTACAAAATCTTTTACATCTAAAACATGGGGCTCAAACAAGGCCTAAGTGTGAGCTTTTATAGTAAAAAATGTGAAATGATTATCATAGAATGAAAAGATATGTGGTCTCATCCTAATGGTGGAACAGTCTTCTCTTAGGTGTCACTCCGTCAATTATATGTTGGTGCATTTAATGTTGAATAATGCTATCTGGTGTTTCTAGAGTTTGAAGTTACTCCTTCGAAAACAATCCGACAGAATCACCTGAATGTAAGAAATGATCAACAGGATCCAAAATGTAATTCGAGCCCACCGACTTCACGATATTTCCTTAAAACGAATTTGCTGCCTTCAATAATACTAAAGGCGTCCAACAATCGTTTCTCAGGATAGAACGAATTTTCGTCTCCTACGGAAGCAGCACTGCAATTTGCAGGAGTTCCAACGAACTCAACGAAATGTATTTGACTTCGAAACAATATCAGAATGAGAGACATGAGAATAAGATTCAAAGCACAGAAAGTTTGCAATGAATTTGATTATTTACAATTTGGCCCAAAAATTTAAATAAATTTTATCCAAAAAATTAATGTATTGCAAAGGTCCACCCGCATCCAAATATGAACCGGACCGGACCGGACTCGGTCTCGAACACGGGCACGTGCTCGTGTCGTGTTGAGCCAGCTGGCAGGACGAAAGGCGGCGGCGGCGGCGACGACGCGCGCGTGTGGGTTGATGACCAAACCCAATAGGATATAGGTCTTCCCCCTTCCAAAGACTATTGGTATCCCTTGGAGCCCAAACCCAATTCATAAACTTCCACCTCATAAACCACACCGAAGTTTCCTAACTTTCCTATGTGGTTATAGTATTCAGAAAATCAAATTCTTCCATAATACTTAGTTTTATGTGTGTTACTTTAACACTTAATATTTCATTCAATTCTAAATGATTTTCGACCAATAAATATATCACTTTAATCATCTCGCGGAGTAGAACGTGAATATGCTAGGTCCCGTATTAATTAAAAGGTGGATCCTACTGAAATTTGAGCTTAAAGTTGACCCATTTCATAAACATTTTTCCAACAATCTCCCACATGAATGAAATATGTTGGCATTTTCCAAACAATAACATCTGATATGTTTTTCAAAGTAAAAATTGAAGAAAACTATATCAGGATAAGTAGTCAATGACTTTGAACTTTTCCTAGTAAAATCTATCAGATTTCCTTAGCCAATCAGTAGCAAGTTGTTTTGAACAGTCAACCATTCATGGAAATCTAAACAATAGAAGTCACACAGTTCTCTTCAAACATAGTTGGTTCTCACGTTTGTGTCCATTTTGGCCTTGGACACCTCTTGGTTTATAAGTGATTTTTAGAGAATTCATCTTCACCTAATTCTCTTAGAAGCGGCCCCTTCTCACTCATATAGGTGATTTTCATAAAGAGTATTCTGCTATACTCCACTTGAACGAATCAAGATATAGAAATCATTAAAAGCGTAACTTAACCTATTTTGCAGCAGCTAGGCACTGGCTCATCATAGGAATGGGTAGGAGTAAAATCTTCCTAGTGCATACTAAGTTTTTCACAGTTCAGTTGTCTCATTGAACCTAAATCTTGGGATCTCCAGTCAACTAGGTTGGGTTGCCACCATGGGAACTTTTGATTATTTTATTAGTTTTAATTCCATCCCCTTCGATGAACTTTCGACTTGCTCTCTTGTTAAACTTTTAGTTAACGGATCCGCAATAGTCTCTTTTGATTTCACATACTCTATAGAGATAATGCCAGTAGAGAGCAATTGTCTAACAGTATTGTGTCTACGACGTATATGTCGAGATTTACCATTATACATTGCATTTTGTGCCCTACCAATTGCTGATTGACTATCGCAATGGATACATATAACAGGCACAAGTTTTGTCCAATATGGAATATCTTCTAGAAAGTTTCGTAGCTATTCGGCTTCTTCTCCGGCTTTGTCTAATGCAATGAATTTAGATTCCATTGTTGATCTAGCTATACATGTCTGTTTTGAAGATTTACACCATACTGCAGCACTTCCAAGTATAAAGACATATTTACTTGTTGATTTGGAGTCTTTAATATCTGATATTCAATTTGCATCATAGTATCCTTCAAGTACTGCTGGATATCTAGAATAGTGCAATCCAAAATTTTGGGTATGTTTTAAATACCCTAAAACTCTAACAATAACCTTCCAATGATCAATGCTTGGATTACTCATATATCGACTTAGCCTACTAATTGAATAGGCAATATCAGGTCGAGTGCAATTCATGACATACATTAAACTGCCAATAATACGAGAGTATTCCAATTGAAACTTACTATCACCAGTATTGAAAACAAGGTGCATATTAACATCCATATGTGTTTTCATAGGAATAATATCACATTTCTTGAATTTATCAAGAATCTTCTCAATATAATGTGATTGAGACAATACGAGACCATCAAACGTTTTAGAGATTTTAATTCCTAATATAACATTGGCCACACTTAAATCCTTCATTTTAAATTTACTTGTTAGCATCATTTTTTTAGTTTGAATTATGGTGTCATTGTTACTCATAATCAACATGTCATCTACATACATACCATGACATACCCATTTGGAGTGTTCTTGACATAAACACATTTGTCGCACTCGTTAATTTTGAAACCATTTGACATTATAATTGTGTCAAATTTTTCATATCATTTCTTAGGAGCCTGCTTTAATCCATATAGTGATTTAACAAGTTGACACAGTTTCTTTTATTGTCCTGAGGCCACAAATCCTTCAAGTTGCTCCATATAAATTTCTTCATCTAATTCCCCATACAAAAAATCTGTTTTAACATCCATTTGATGTATATCCAAATCATTCAATGCTGTTATTGTAATAAGCATACATATG